TTTTTTTTTTTTTTTGGAAGTGCTTGGGATTGAACCCAGGCAGGGCCTTGTGCATGTGAGGCAATCACTCTACCAACTGAGCTATATCCTTAGCTCCTACACACAGCCTTTTGACTTTGAATAAAAAAGTTTGTTTCCTTTTCCCTAAAGTAGAGATGACAATAACACTATCTTTTTGTGAGCATTATTGAGGTAATCAAGTTGTTGGCTCAGTACTTAGTATATGGAAGCTCTCTATAAACAGCAGTCATGTGGACAGGTTTAAAATGAAGTAGTGGGTTTTTAAAATCAATGTGATTTCCTTCCCTTTTTTCCTTCTTTTATTTCTCAAAAAGAGGCAGTAGAGATGGTACAGGTGGAAAGGGTGGTATAGAAACGAGGGGAAAAAAAGAAGCGTAAAAAAAAGAATCAGCCAGGACTGGTGGCACAGGTCTGATATTCCAGCAGCTTAGGAGGCTAAGGCAGAGGATTGCGAGTTCAAAGCCAGCCTCAGCAACTTAGTGAGACACTTAGCAATTCAGTGAGACCTTGTCTCTAAGGAAAATGTAAAAAAGGGCTGAGTATGTGGCTCAGGGTTAAGCACCTCTGGGTTCAATCCCCAGTACAAACAAACACAAACAACAACAACAAAACCCAAAGGGCAAAGGTTTTCTCCTCAAAGGTCCTTACTATCCCCCTGGAATAGTGTCACTACTTCCTCAATACACACACAGGACTCCAATCCTATTGGGAGCAAATGATCCAGACAGATGGTTAGTGGCCAATCCCTCCTGAAGCCCCAGAGTCCTCTCTGCTGCAGTTTAACACTGTCTTCCTCCTGTCCCAGCAAAGACTCCTCAAACAGCTGGCTCACTAATCCTAACCCCTTCTTCTTCCCCATGAAGGGACTGACTTAGGGTGATGGGTACTAGAACTTAGTGCTCTCTTCCTGGCAATGCCAGACTCTACCACCTCACTACCACCAGAAGAACTAGGGAACAGCAAAGGGTTTTTATAAGGGTTCTGCCATCCTCAATTGTGAGGAAGTTTAGGAAATCCCAAGCTACTTCCAGAAACTTCTTGTCCCCTGTCCCCATAACTAGTTTCATAAAGGGATGACCACTTATTTGCGTGTTTTCATGTTTGCTGGGGTCAACAATGTAAGTGAACAGATGAGTAGGAGGCTGGAGAGGGCAGCCACCTCTTCACCCTTGAGTGTTGAGACATGAGGGAGCAAGGTCTTTAGCTCAGAGAAACTTCAGTGTCCTGATAGGAAGGCTCAGGGGGCATTTGGGACCATACCTTTTTGAATCCCTTCTGGTTTTAACTTGGTATGACCCTCTGGCTGAAAACCAGAGCTCCCAGGGTGATAGAGACTTCCCTGAGAGTTGGAAGGGAAAGAGTATTTAGAGGGAGGCAGCAACTGTGGCTGAAGAGGACTCTGGGTTGGGTGAAGAGACCTAGTGTGCATTCCCTCTTTGACTGAAAGTCAAAGAGGTAGCAGAGAAGGGAGCTAAAAGGTGGGACTCCTCCCTTAATTCAAAGGGACAGCTATTTCCTCCCATTGCCTATGGGGTCTTGATCTCTTTTTTTCCCTCTGATCATTCAAGCAAGTTTTAACTCTATAGAGAGAATTTTTGCTCATTCTTAAGCCAAGGAATTTGAGGGGTGTAGGAGGGAAAAGGAGTTTCTCCATGGGCCTGACCTGGGGAAATGAGTTAGGGGAGCCAGAGGATGGGGAGAGAGAGGAAAGAGAAAGCCACATATGAGTAGGGGAGGGAAGGATGCAACAGCTGGATGGAGAGGAATGCTACAGCTGGAGGGGACTAGGGGCATCACAGGTGGAAGGTAAGGAGGTCCATTGCCAGGCCATCAGGAACAGGTGCTGCCTGTAATCTTCAGGTGGAGCCTGCTAGTTGTACGTGTGGGGGAGGGGAAATACGGTGGGCACACCAGCCTTGCCCTTCCTTCTCTTCCCTGGAGGGAGCCAAACTCCCCCTCCGCCTTCCTTCTCCCATCTTGAGGGTGAGTGAGAGAAGAGGCTGTTCTCTTGCCTGCAGTCCTTTAAGTCTGTCCCTCCACCCCCATACATCCTTCACAGCCCTGGAGGCCCTTCCTCTCCAAGCTGGGCCGCGGCATCCCTCAGCTCCGTTCTCCTCCTTCCCATCCCCACTGGCGTCGGGTCCAGGTCCCCAGTTCTCCATCCCCACAGCCTCACCATCTCCGCGTCACCTCCTCCCCCACCATGCCACATCTGCATCCCTACCCTCCCTCCACACCCGAGTCCCAGGACCCGGACCCATCCTTGCCCCCAACTCGGCCAGGCTCTCACCTCGGGGGCTCCGCGGCCGCAGCACAAAAGGCGGCGCTGCTGCAGCTCCGCTCCGGATGCTGCTCCCGCCTCCTCCTCCTTCTCCACCTCCTTCCCTCCTCCCCCCGCTGCCCTCGACCGGACCGGGGGCGCTGTCACAAGCGATGCTCGTGTGGTGTCCAGGTGTACCGGTGTCAGCGTCAGTTTTCCGCCCCCATCTCCTACCCTTAGCCCGGTCCCCACTCGGCTTGAACTCCCGCTCCTTCAAGGCCCCCGCCCCTGGCCCCCCGGGACGGACACGCCCTGAGCGGGGGATGCTGCGCTGGAGCCGCCGGCCTCTTAAAGGAGCCCGCTGCTGCCATCCGGCGCGCTCCAGGCCCGTCCCTGGACCGCCTGGGCCCCACGCCTCCTTGCTGACGGTGTCTTACAGCAGTTACACTTCGGGCCTTATGTTGATTCCGTAGGAACGCCCTATGGTCCGTCTTATGGACTCCTTCCTGTTCCCTGAGAGAGCAGCCCCTCAAATGGTATTCTCAGCACTCTGACATTGCTCTCCCCCGCTCCCCCCCCCCCCACCCCCCCCTCTCCTCCTCCTCCGCCGCCCCCTCCCCCCCTCCCCACCTCCCTCATCACCCCCCCGTCATACCGATCTTGCCAGTTCTGCTTCCCTTGATTGTCACCGCTCATTTTCCAATTTCACCCAATTGGAATCCACTCAGCTATAGGCCCCATCCCCCTCAGTGTTCCTGGATGACCCCTCATCATTCCAAGATTCCTCTGTGCATTCCTCCTCGCCCCCGCCTCCAACCTTAGAGCAAGACAACCATTCCCTGACCTATTCTCAAAACGCTCATCGGAATCAGACATTTTTTGTGATACCTCTTTCTCCAAGGTCACAAGATTTCCCCTGTATCTTTCAGTCAGTGCTTGCGAAGACTTTGGGAGCCAAAAGTATATTTTCTGCTCTGCATCCAGAGACTCAAATCTCAGGGCAGAGGGAATAATACCAGGCACCATAGTTCTTCTTGTCCCACTACAGCCTGATTCTCGGGTCCCAGATTCCTGGCCAGTTAAGGAAATATTCACTAGGGTGGATCTACTGAGGCTTTCGGAGAGAAACAAAATCTGACAAGTTGCTTAGAGAGTAGAGGGTAAGGAGATTAAAGACAACCTAGGAAAATGAAGCAGGTTCTGTGACACTGTGGCCTGAGGGTCAGGGGTTTAGGCTTAGGCTGCGACTTAAGGGAGAACTGTCTGAGATGAACTTGAACCTACAACAACCCCACTGCTCTGGGGGAAGGGGGTGGTGGTGGAACAGCCCCCTCTAGCGTCCAGGTAAGGCCTACCCTCCGAGACCACGAAGAGGGAGGATCTGCCAGCAGCCTCCCAGGCCAATCACAACCTTTCCTCGAGGAGGCGGGTTCTCTTCCCTTGTCTCCGCCCCTCTGGGCCAAGTAGCCAATCGAAAGTCGCCTAGGAGAAGTAAACGCAATAGGAATAGCCAATGATGCCGTTGAATCTTTTGCGTGCTTGACCCTGCCTGTACAGCTGCGACAGAGTGACGCGCGAGTTGCTGGGTTTTGTAGTTTTCTAGGGGTTCAAAAGGCCCCAAGGCAAGTTAGCCCTCACTGTCCCGCCCCCAGCCGCTTCCTCTCGGCTACTACGCATGCTCACAGCCCGGGGGCGAGGCGGTGCAGCCCGCCCACTGCTCGGGAAGCGTCCGCTCCTCCCAGAAGGCGGTGCAGCCAGCCAGAGCGAGCCTCGCGGAGGGTTGTGGGGCGGGTAGCTCCCCTCTAGATGGAGACTCATGAAGTAGGATAGGCGGAGGACTCCATTTCCCAGCATGCCCCGCGGCGGGCCCTACCGGCCGCGATTCCGGGCTCGGCCCCGGCCCTAGCTCGTCGGCGGAATACTGGGGCGCGTGGAAGCTGTAGTCACGGTGGCGCCTGTAGGGACGGAGGAGGGAATGAGCGAAGAGGAGCAAGGCTCCGGCACTACCACGGGCTGCAGGCTGCCCAGGTGAGCCGCCTTGTCCTCATCACCGCAGAGCGAAAAGTGTCTGGCGGTGCGGAAGGGTATTGCCGCGGCCCCAGCATGCACCTGGCCTGAGGGTTGTTCCCGGCAAGCACTGGGGTAGTGGGCAGTGGTTCCCGGCATGCACCGGGGCAGTGGCCACCGCCTCCAGCCCTAAATAGTTAGGGGTTGGCTCGGTTCCCAGACTACACTGGAGCACTGGGCTTTATGCCCCCCACATTCAGTGCATTTGGTGGGTACTGGATTCTTGGCCTGCACCGTGTCAGGGTCCCTGCACTTCCAATCAGCACGGGGCACAGGCTCCCTCGCTTTAAGTGAGACAGGAACAGTGCATTTCCCACTTGCCTTGGGGTAGTGGACCCTGTTTTCCCAGCTGCATCCCTAATTTGAACCCAGCCAATGGACACTCTGCGTGGGGTCCCCTGGACCCTGTGTCCCCCATAACGTGCCTAGGTGTCGTGTGGCAGTGCTTGGCCAGGTGGGTGCAGAGGAGAGGTGTGATGTGGGTCTGTACCCCTTACCCCAGTATAGAGCAAATGCTGGCCGCCAACCCCGGCAAGACCCCGATCAGCCTTCTTCAGGAGTATGGGACCAGAATAGGGAAGACGCCTGTGTACGACCTTCTCAAAGCCGAGGGCCAAGCCCACCAGCCTAATTTCACCTTCCGGGTCACCGTTGGCGACACCAGCTGCACTGGTGAGGAAGGCTTGGGCGGCCTGGCTGGGGTGTGCATTTAAGGGCCCATTGCTTTGTATCGTGGAGTCTCTCTTCACAGTCCTCTTTTCCAAGGCCAGTAAGATTTCAGGGTATTTCAAGATTACAGAGATTCCAGGGGAAAAGCCACTGACTGTAGTGGCAGAACAGGACTATGAGAAGTGGGTAGACTTGGGGAAGTCAGAGGAGTGAGTAGGACTGTCTTGGGGATCTGGCAGGTCCCCATCACCCCAGAGGAAAAGGAGAGAATACTTTACATTTTCATTGGATATTTGGGGGAGTGAGAGCTACCATGCCAGGCTCTATATCTGAATATCAGTAAACTGAGTATCAAATTGAATGGCTGGGACACTGTCATATGTCTAGTAAGTGGCACAGTAGGGCTTTGTAGAGCCTACTCTATTGTTCCAGCTGTTTATTGAGGGAAAAGAAAGTACTTTGCAGAGGGAAGTAAGGCAGTGAATGAGTCTCCACCTAAAGGGAGCTCAGAATTCCTGCTTGGCATGGCATAGTTCTAGGAGCTAATAGAAAGATAAGGGCCTTTCTTTCCAGCAGTTAGTGAACCCGTTCTAGTCTTGGGCAGGGGGAGGATGGGTCAGAGGAACTTGATTGACTCCCTCTGGCTGTGAGGAAAGAGACTGGGATGCTGGTTTCTCTTCTGTTCTTCCAGTGACCTCCAGTATTGCCCACACCCCCTCTCTCAGGTCAGGGCCCCAGCAAGAAAGCAGCCAAGCACAAGGCAGCTGAGGTGGCCCTCAAACACCTCAAAGGGGGGAGCATGCTGGAACCGGCCCTGGAGGACAGCAGGTGAGGGAGGAACAGCCAAGGCACCTAGAAGTCCTGCCAGGAACCCAGGCCCTGTACCACCTTCCACTCTCCTTGAGCCTGGCCTGGTGACCTTTACCACCCTGACCTTTCCCCTTCCAAGAGTTTCCTCTGGACCCAAACAGAGTGTTTCCAGGGCTTCTGCTGCTGTGAAGAATTCTCTGGGGAATAGCCAGCCCCTTTGCAGGATTATAGCTGTAATTGGGGTTGGGTTTAGGGAGGGAGGGGGTGGGGAGAGGAGGCTGAGGTTGACAGGAGTTGCTCCCTTACATGCTTCCTCTTATTAGCAAATATGTCCTTCCCTCTTCTATGCTCAGGTTGGAATTTGTTGTTCCCATGGTTCTTGGGTAGGAAGAGACTTCTTTTCTAAGATGACATTTTCTCAGTCTTTTTGAGCCAGTAGGGGCAGCAAAGCATCCCAGGAGGAAGATGTTGGGTCTCTTGAGTCTGGCTCAGTTGAGAAGTTCTCTTAAGGCATGGGCAGGTCAGGAGACCTGAGTCCCCACCCCTCTATTCTCCCTGCACCTGGGCGTGAATCCAAGACCCCCTTCCCCTCGGGAAGTTCTTTTTCTCCCCCAGACTCTTCACTGCCTGAGGAGGTTCCGGTTTTTGCTGCTGTGGCAGTTGCTGCTCCTGTTCCATCCACTGTCTTAATCAGGTATCTTGTGTTCCCTGACTGCTGTAAAGGGTGGGGAGGAGAAGGTCCTGACTCCTGGCTCCTCAGCTAGGCTAGTCAGGCGTGAGGAAGCCTGACAGTGAGCAAAGAATGGAATAGTTGGGGACAAGAGCTTGCAGAATTTGCACCAATTGGTAAGCTTTTGGGACAGGAGGTAATTTATGATTTTTTTTTTTTGGTGGGGGGATACAGGGGATTGAAACAAGGGGTATACTACCACTGAGCTACATCCGTTTTTTAAATTTTTTGAGACTGGTTTTTGCTAAGTTGCTGAGGCTGGCCTTGAATTTGGCTATCATCCTGCCTCAGCTTCCAAAGTCACTGGGATTACAGGCATTCACCACCATGCCTGGCTTAATTTATGATTCTTAAATAGCAATATGGATGAAGTCTGATGATATTTAATGGTCTTGTAGTCTACAGTTTCTTCTGGGTTGACCATTTGATGATTCTGTTTGAGATCCATTAACTGCTCTGGGACTAGCTATTCAGCCCTTCTTCCACCGTCCTGGGGAGATGATAACCAAATATTTTTTAATCTAAATGCACCTGGGCCTAGAGGGCACTTCTTTTGTGGGGGAGTGGGAGGAAGCAGGCCAGAAATAGGGAGATGGCATGGGAAAACCAAGCAGTGGTTAAGACTTGGGCTTGTGGGTAGCCCAGAAGGAACCATTCTCAGCTTTGGCCTGGGCCCTTTTTCCTTCAGGAGCCCCCCCATGGAGATGCAACCCCCTGTCTCCCCTCAGCAGTCTGAGTGCAACCCCGTTGGTGCGCTGCAGGTGTGCCCCCATCCTCATTTTCCATGCATGCCTGTCTTCCCTTGAACCAGGGGCTGCAAGAGTTTGTGGGTGGGGCAGTTACCTTGTACTAAGGCCTTTCCACACCCCTCCTTCCTGTCATCTAGAGTTTGAGGCTTTTGGGTAAGGGCCAGTGTGGATATAGGGAGTCTCTTCTCACTTGGCCTTGTGCTCCCTGTGTCTCCTCTCCAAGGAGCTGGTGGTGCAGAAAGGCTGGAGATTGCCAGAGTACACGGTGACCCAGGAATCCGGGCCAGCCCACCGCAAAGAGTTCACTATGACCTGCCGAGTGGAGCGTTTCATTGAGATTGGTAACTGGACAGAAAGGGGTTCTTAGCTCCTATTCCACAGCCCTCCAACCCTGTCACAAGGCAGTTCCTGGCTTTAGTTTGCTGCACCCTGCCTCTTTTTGCTCCATAGTTGCTGACTCAGCTTCTTTCTCCTACCTTCTTCGTACCCTCTTTCCCCCATCTTCAGCTGACCAGGTTCTTGGGTGCATGGGCAGGTTCTGAGCTCCCCTTTCTCACTGACATTCATGTGGGTGGAAAGCACAGCTCTGTTGGGAGTTAGAATCGAGCAACCCTCTTCCCATGCACAGGCAGTGGCACTTCTAAAAAGCTGGCCAAGCGTAATGCAGCGGCTAAAATGCTGCTTCGAGTGCACACAGTGCCTCTGGATGCCCGGGACGGCAATGAGGCGGAGCCTGATGACGATCACTTCTCCATTGTGAGTGTCTTGCGTGGGCCGGGGACATGGTCGACTTTCCATGATTCAGCAGGGCACCAGGCATTGGTTCTGTGACTCTGGAGTAAGCCTTTCTCAGTCCTGGGTGTGCTTACGCTCTAATTTTCCTACCAGACCTAGGGCTCTTTGGGTCTCTGAGGCCCCCTCAGCCTCGACTCGTGGTTCACTGGTGAGTGCTGTGGGGGAGCTGGCTTGGGGTGGGGAACTGCAGGCTTCCATTTCTGGGATGAAGAAAGCTGCCTGGCCATCATGTCCAGAGTCTAGAAGTTAGAGGATGCTATGTAGGGACTGACTGGGGGAAGGACAGCTGGAAGAAGAGGGCTTTTCTTTTCTTGAACACTGTCTGAATGCCTGGGTTCCACAGCCCCTGGCTACATCTTTTTCACTTTTCCCATCTTGTCAGGGTGTGGGCTCCCGCCTGGATGGACTTCGCAACCGGGGCCCAGGCTGCACCTGGGATTCTCTGCGAAATTCTGTGGGAGAGAAGATCCTGTCTCTTCGCAGTTGCTCCCTGGGCTCCCTAGGTGCTTTGGGCTCTGCCTGCTGCAGTGTTCTCAGTGAGCTCTCTGAGGAGCAGGCCTTCCATGTCAGCTACCTGGATATTGGTATGACTAGTTGGGGAGCCAGGGGATGGTGGGGACTGAATCAGAGCTAGTATAAGGGGATCAGGAGGGGATGATGATGATGTGGATGTACCCCAGCCCAGTGCTTCTCCCCATCCAACACTGCCTCCCTTCCTTTCGGTCTACAGAGGAACTGAGCCTGAGTGGTCTCTGCCAGTGCCTAGTGGAACTGTCCACCCAGCCAGCCACTGTATGTCATGGCTCTGCAACCACCAGGGAGGCAGCCCGAGGTGAGGCCGCTCGCCGTGCCCTGCAGTACCTCAAGATCATGGCAGGCAGCAAGTAGAGCCTCAGATGGACTCATGGATGTGTACTCTTTGCTCCCTGCATATTCTGCCTTTGGGCCCACGTATCCACTCAGCTCTGGTACCTTCTGGAGGTGCCATCTCTACCTCTGACACAAGACTGCCTGCCTTGAGCTGAAGAAGGCACAGGGCAAGGAGCCAGGGACCACTGGGCCTCAGCCAGCCCAGAGTGTCTACCTATAGGTGATGACAAGTGGGAAGGGGGCTATATTAGAGTCCAGAATAAACATGCTGCTCCTAGGTTTCTTAAACCCTGCTCTTTCTGTGCCCTGAGTAATGTGGATGGTGGGGGTCAGCACCACATCCTTCTTCTACTGCCCCCCGCCCCCATTCTCATGGTCTTGCAGGAAGTAAGTAGTGGTGTAGTGGCCTTGGGAGCCTTGTCAGCTGCAATGGCTGGAGTTTGGTTTGGTGGAGATAGAGGTTGGTGGTCCTTGCCTCAGGTTCTTTCCCAGCCCTGTAAAGTCTTATCTAGATACACATGGATTCAGAAGCCAAACCACTTTATTTGGGGGGACACATGGCACTTTGGGCCTTGCATGCAAACACATCAAGGGATGACACTTATTTTTTCCCAAAGCGCTGAGGGGCAGCCAGGCTCCAGAACTCTCCAGCACGGGGATTCAGTTGCTCGTTGCTCCAGGGTCCCCAGGTATTTCTGCCAAACCTAAGGGAGAGATTCATCCTCAGATATAGCTCCTTCTAGTCTCCCTCATTGAGTAAGCCCTTCCCTTTTCTTTTTCTGCCCTTCCCAGACCCTGCTATGCTCCTCTACTTTTCAGACTCACCTCTGGGGCTGAAACAGGAAGGCTGGACTCCGGCCAGGTCTCTCCATGGCCTGGAGCAGGGAGCGCAAGAGGGACCCAGGGGTCTGGGCATGCTGCAGTGAGCTGGGTCCATTGTCTTCTTTCTGCAGCAAGAGGGTGGCAGGGAGGGAAGATGGGCAAATGCCCTGGACACTAAAGATACAAGGGGAAAGGAGTAGCTTCTAAGAGCAAATTGAAGGAGGCTGGTGGGGATGGGGTGCTCACTTACCACAAAGACCTGGTCTCCTCCATCCTGGCCTCTTGGTACTTCAGCATGGCCCCAGTCCGTTAACAGTAGCAACATCAGCAGCACTATCACCCGCCTGGAATCCATGCTGCCATCAGCCCTCCTACAGCTACACCAGCCTCTTATACCTGCTGTACCCTATCCCCCACCCCCAACAGCAGCCTGAGGGGGAATCTAGACAGGCAATGGAAATGCACGGCTCTATTAAGGGCCACCTGGGATCCCCTCTCGTGTGTCCCCTGGGGCTCCCTGCTTTCAATCTCCCACCCCCAGCCCCTAAGCCTGGAGTTATAGACTTTATTAGATGCATAAATCCTGTCTCCAGAGCTCAAGAAACATCATTTATTGCAGATGTTTTGTCAGAGCCAGGCCCTACGGGGCCTTAAGAATCCCCAATCCCTCAACAGGTTGGAGAGCTTCAATTGATCATTCCTTTCCTAACTTGTAGACTTAAGCATAGACAGACTCCTGTCAAGAAGGTTAGATGTTATGTCCTGGATGGGAGGGAGAGTGGGAAGGACCCAGGTCAGAGTTGGACAGGGTGAGATAGCCTGGTCCCTTCCCTGCCTGGGTCAGCAGTCAGTCAGAATCATACAGCCTAGTCACACCCCTGCCTTTGGGAAGGTTAAATCTGGAATCACTACTCTCAGAGTTGACTGTGGACAGAAAAGTGAGATACAGGAGACTGATGGGGTTTTGGAGCCCAAAGAGCAGAGATGGCTTCACATCTTTGTGGACAGACCCATCTTCACTAGACAGTGCTGCCTCTCCACTCTTCCTGGGAACTGACCTTTGCAGCTATAGCTCTGCTGCCACCCTGTGGCTACTGTTCCTTACTACCAGGTCCAGTCATTTTCTTTTTCTACATAGCTCTTTCAAGGAGGAACCTAGGAGGGTGAGAGGTCCTGAAGCCCCCACTCTTAATGGCAGCAGAAGGATACTGTGGAGCTGGACTGTCATTATTTCACCTCCCTGTGGCCAGTACAGCTTCAACCTGGCTCTGCCCTACTGAGGCAAGGCAACATGAATCTTGCCTTAGGAAGCATCAGAAAAACAGCTATTCAGGGAGGCACTTTTATTATGTGGTGCAGTTTCCTGCTAATTGTAGAATCCCTTCCTGAGCACGGGTTCCAGTTTGGGGTTCCAGCCTATGGTGAATGGCATAATGGGTCTCTGACTCAGCCCTGGTCCAACTATCTACCTCTATAAATTTCAGGTTTCTAACATGGGAACATTAAAAGGAATTACTTCCTAGGGTAAGCATTATTCAAGATATCTTTTATAATCCATCCAGCACAGGATCTGGCAAGCAGCAGGTATCCTCAAAACATTAGCTGTGATTACTTTCACACCCCAGACCCAGGGAACTTACCATTTCCTGAGAGAGTCTTTGGATAAATTTATCCTTATGCTGAGCTGGCTTCAGTCTCCCTGTGGCATCCACCGGGTGGGTATCTTAGTTTGCTCCATTAGGCCTCACAGAATATCTTTAGTGTCTAAAGACATTTCATTCTTCCATTCTAATCTTTTTTGCCCAATGGGAAGTGCTCCCCTCTTTGAAGCAAGGCATCTTGGAACTTATACATTTGTATATTAGAGCAGGTTCTGATCTGGATGTTTTATATAGGACACATTAATATTCCTATTAATGTAGTCTAAATTCAGGTAAACATTTTTGTAAGCTTTGTCTCATGGTTGGTTCTAAATACCAAGCTGACATCATAATTACATTTTGTAGTTCATTTCTTAAAAGGGAATATCAAATCCATGGGTGGTTGGTTCTGTATTCTGTCACAGTCCTTGTTTGTTCCTATGTGACAGATCCAAAGGTGTAGGGGGGCAAGGCTGGGTGGGGCACTGCAAACTTGCAAACTGGCTCTGGGCCAGACAGAACTGTTTTTATCTTTGCTCTTGCTCTTTGTTGTTTGACTTACCTAAACTTTAGTTCATCAATAATAAAAATGAAGCAACTCCTTCGGTTATTAAAAGGCTGTTGTGAACAGGAAATGACTTGAGTGCAAAGCATGCTACCATTTCTACCTAGCACAGAGCAGGCACTTAATACCCACCATGCTGCTGCTTCCCCTCCTAATATTCCTGAGTGCAAATTACAAGTGGGTCCGAGCTCCTTCAAAAAGGGGCTGGTCTAGCTGCTTTCCTAATCTGTGATGGAGGAGACTGATCTCTGTTTAGAAGTCAGAATGGGTTAATCCTAGACTAGTACACTGCCCTTCCTTCAGGGTCACATTCCTACCTCCAGGACATTGCAATTTGGGTCCCGGTATTTTACTTTCAGCAATTTCCTCTCACCTTTCCCTAGTCTCTCATGTGCTTCTGACCACAATACAGTGAAGGCCTTTGCTGCTGTTCCCACTCTCCTATGGAGGCCTGTATATGCCAACTGTCTACCAAACAACAGCCACAAACAGCTTCATACATCATTCTTTTCCTAAGGGAAATCTCAGCAGCACCTGCTATCTCTTTTGTCATCCTGGCACTATTCTTATTACCAATGAAAATTATCAGGAACAGACAGATGCATGGAATTGTTAGTGATTTTCCCCGTTCCTCCTCCTCAACCCCTATTCTCTTAGCATTATCTGTCTTCTTGGGAGCTTTCAGCAGCTTCTAAGCAAATCTCCCTTCATCTCCAGACCAACCCCTTCCATACTGCCCCTCTGCCATAGAAAGGTTCACTTTCTGTGTGTACACTCCCCAGCCATGCTGAAAACTTACCAACTGTTGGGGGTAGGGCAAGGTGGGCACAAAAGAGAAAGATAAGGTCAATTGCCTTCAGATATTCCCATCCTCCATTCACATAAAGCAAACACTAAGTTCACAGGGGAATGTTTCTGTGATGCCAAGGGCCCTTATCTTTGAGCCACTCCACAGATCTAAGCTCTGTGTCCTTGGTCATGCTGTGTAATTTATATAAATCTACAGCCTTCTGGAGGCTGCACCGCTCCTGTATTAAATGTAGGGACAAGAATCCCTGCTCCTTCTGTCCCAAGAAGTGGGAGGGAGAAGAGACTTGCAAATATGAAAGCCCAGTGAGTCCCCAGAAGAGTGGTCAGTGGGATTTGTTTTCTTTTTTTTTTTGGTACCGGGGATTGAACTCAGAGGCACTCCACCACTGAGCCACACTCCCAGCCCCATTTTGTATTTGATTTAGAGACAGGATCTCATTGAGTTGCTTAGCATCTCACTTTTGCTAAGGCTGGCTTTGAATTTATGATCCTCTTGCCTCAGCCTCCTGAACCTCTGGGATTACAGGTGTGCACCACCCAGACGGTCAATGGGATTTGTAGGTCAGAGTAGTGAAGCATCAGACAAACCAGTGGTTCTCTTGATAGTTTAATGTTATATTTGCAGCATAAATAAGGCACAATATATGTCAGGGCAAGGGAGGGAGGGAGGAGGGAGAAGGCATGGCTGGGGAATAACTGCTAAGTGGCAAAGGGACGGTCACAGAGAAGAGAGCAAAGCCCCACCTCAGCCCAGTCCCAAAGAGTGTGAGAGCCTGCTCACAGGGTCATGCTGAATTAGATGGAGGGGAAGGGGGAAAGATAGTTTTGTAACAAAATTGCCTGTAGCACTGCATCCTCCCACCTGTCAGGGTCCACCACTAGAGACTGGGGAGACCCAGATCAAGTTGAGTTCCTTGATAAGATAGAGAGGTGTTGCTACATGTCAAAAATATATAGATGAACAGAGATATAATCATAGATACAAACTTTCTTCTCCATAGATACTATTATCAGGATGCAGCAGCCTCCACTGATGGGGCTGGAGGCTCAACTCCTTCCTGCCTGCAAGGTATGCATGTATATGGGAGGAACAGGCAGCTAAAGCTCCATCTGGTCCTTAATGTAATCAAGAATGCAGAGTGACCAGTCTGCAAGGGAACAGGGACAACTCTTATCTAGACCAATATAGGTACAGGTTTTACAGAAAAGACTAAAAGGAAGAAAACCTAGTTTGAGATGAGTGATGTGGTGGTGGTGGTGGTGGTGGTGATGGTGACTGTTTTAATGGGAGTTGAGGGAGGGACTGGAAGAAATGGAAAAATATGTTAGTGCTAAGGCAGAGGACGATATTTAAAATAATTCTCCATGTCCTGTAAGAAGCTCCCAAATTGCCCGTCAGGTTCTCAAACATTAGTGCACATTAGAAGGGCTTGGAGTGCTTACTGAAACCCACTCCCAGTTTCTGATTCTGATTTGGTAGATCTCAGTTGGGCTGAGAATGGGCATTTCTAGCAAGTTCCAGGTGACAGTGATACTCCTGCTGCTGGTCCTGGGTCATACTCTGAGAACCACAAACTTAATGTAAAGTCATTGTGACTACTATTTGTGGCCACTTACAGCTAGTGCATCAACTCATCAGTAGCTGGGATGAGACATTTCTGTGCTTCTAGCTCCCCATTAAAAAAATAAACCCTTGTAGCTACAATGCAAACCTGCATCTAAGAAAGACATAAATTGCCTTAATCTGCCCTACTCTCTCCATCCTTTTCTCATTCTGGGGTAGGATTTTACCCCAAAGAGAAGTAATTCAACTGGTGCAGAGGATGGGAATGTTGGCCAGCTGCCACCTATATTCATTCCTGTTGGGGCACCACCCCAGAGTGAGTGCATGGGGATTTATGTTTGTATGCACATTCATGTGTGCATACAGAAACAGAGAAATCAGTTCTATTTCATGAAAGAGATGATTAGGGAGGCTGTAGGCTCTAATCTGCCTTAGGAGCCTCACCTATTCTGTTCCTCCACGCCTTCCACTCCAAACATAAGTCTAAAGAAAGGAGAGAACACATTAGCAAAGGCATATGTGACACAGCTAGGAGGACTGGACTCTAAACAGACTGGTTATGAAATAAAAAACAAAAACAAAATCATTTCTTTCCTGTGTACACAATGTACAATATTAATGGAAATAATAATTTGGGGATGGGAAGGAAATTATGAAAAGGGGACTTATTTTTTTGTTGGGGAGAGCTACCTTGGGGCTAGCACCTTTCCCGAGCCTCTCAGTGTGAAGCAGGAGAGCCTCAGAAACAGGAAAGATTTCTTGGCATCTGCTTGGTGATTCAGGCTGTAAATGGTGCACAGATATGGTGAAGCACTCCATCTCCCAGGATGGTGGTGCTGGAAGCAGGTCCTTGAGAAGATGGATTGGTGAGTCAGGAAAGGAACAACAGCTACAGAACAGGGATAGGAAAGGAAGGCAGCAAGGTGAAGTTCAGCTGGCCCAGCTACTCTTAACCATCCCATATAGTATGTGGTCTAGGGCCAAGGAGAAGAGTGGAGGCAGAGGGAAGCCAGATTTGGGATGCCTGACCAACAGGAAATAATAAGTAAAGGAGCTATACTCTTTCTGGTCCTCCCCTGTCATGTGGGAGGTTTTCTCTGAGCAAGCTATTTTGAAGGGAGCAGGGCAGACCAAACCAGCTCTCACCACTCCCTAGCCCGGAGTGAGGTGGGAGGCCTGAGTCTTGGGTTCACTTGGAAGAGTCCCAAGCCATCCACATTCTCAGTTCCTTTCTGAAAGTGTCCTTGCTAGGTCCTAGAAAGGCCACAGTACTTAAGAAGGGCTAAGTGACACCTCCATGATATCTGGTTCTGGTCCAGGTAAGTCTGGAAGGCAAAGATCAGGGGACAGTGACCACATGGCTGGCAGCAATAACAAGGTAAGTGTCTCCCCTTGACTATAAGAGAAAGCTTCAGGATGAGCAGGTGCTTTGTCTTCTTAGTGAGACCAAGGACCAACTGAATTGCTGTCTGGGGTTCTGTCTTTCCCCTTCCTCCTTTTAGTGCCATTTCACTACTATAGTTCTGGCAATGCCCCTCATTTAGGTCCCCAATGCTAGCCTCTTCACTGACAAAAAATGAATTAAGAGACTCAAGAGAATTAGACATGGGGGCTAAGAAACTAAAAAAGGCCCTCTGCATTAAACAGCCATCCAACACAGGGACAGATTGGTGGGGCATGTGTGCAATGACAAACTGATTCTTAACTTTAAAAACACTTGACTGAAGGGGGAAGAAAAATAGTCAAGGGTCTGATGAAAGCTCCTTAGGAGCCATAAACTCAGTCATGCTTTAGGGCAAGGCTGCTACTGGGAAATCAAGGCAATAAAAAATGAAACAAGACTCAAAAACAGGAAAAAACTCCCAGGGAGCAGCCATCTAAAAGAGAAGTCCTGAGAACAAGTTATAGCTGTGAATCTTTAAAGGCAAGCAAAGTCCCTGCAGGTGGTAACCTGTATCCTGACCATCTGCCATGACATTTGCTAGTCTGATCACCTCAGGGGCAGTTCCTGTTGGGTCCCTGGTGGTAGTGGATGAGAAAATCATATTTTTTTCTCCTTCGTCTTCACCAGGTGTGGTTTGTTCAGCACTGACACTGAAAAGCAGGAGGGGAGATTTAAAATAAATGCAGCAGAACATGTCACCTGATGGGTTCACCAGTGTATCACTGAGGAAATGGGAATCTTGTAGCTTAAAACATT